TCTCCTTGTATTCCCTTGCGTGGCTCAGATTGGCCTGGCTTTCCTTTTAACCCTGCCACAATGGTAGCAGCTAAAGCTTGTCCCTGGAGAACAGATTCATTTATGTCCCTACAAACTTTGATCCATACATCTAATGTTTTGGCTTTATAGGGTCGGACAGCATCCCGGCACGGCTTATTAGCCTGTTCGTATGCCAGCTGTTTAACTAACGGCATGGCGGCATCCACATTTGGGAACACTCTCGATGCCGTCTCCACCAATCTGGCAAGAAAGTCTGCAAAAGGCTCATTATTCCCCTGAATAACTTTTGACAAGCTTGCTCCTAGGTCTCCTGATCCTGATAGCATTTTCCATGCCTTCAGGGCACATTCATTAATCTGCTCATAGACCTGTACAGGATATCCAATCTGATTATTCACAAACGCCCCTTGGCCCATAAGCATGTCCACCCCCAAGCTGGTTGCCCATTTCTACTATTTGTGGCTGCCTGTTCCACAACATACTCAAGATAGGCCACCTTCCAGTTTAAATAGGCTCCTCCAGACAATACTGCCCTGCACAGGTTTTGCCAATCAAAGGGTGTCATGCAATAGCATTGGAGGCTCTCTACCTGGGTAACAGTATAAGCTGCCTGGAGACCATAGGTGGCCACAGATTCTTTTGACCTTTGTATTACCTTCCAATCCAGTTGCTCATGATATCTTTGATTGTTGGCATCTGAAAACACTGGAAACGCTCCTGCTTGTGGGGGCATTTTAGCCCACACTCGGGCATGCTGGCTGCATCCCCCAGTGTTTTTTCCTCCAGCCACATAAGGGGGAGGTGTAGGTAAGGGAGGAGCAGATGGACCAGGAGGCTCTTCCTGTGTCATATCTACCTTTGAGAAGAGACTAGCTAACTCTCCCTCTTCATCATAGAGATCTTCCTCCTCCGTTTCTGTCTTTTCTCTCAGACCTTGGAGGCTCTGACTGCTCTGGTACGACATTGCCTCTTTCATTTCCTCCAGCGCCTGGGCCCAATTCAAATTTGACCTTGCTTTACCTAAGGTATGGGATAACAGGGATATCAGGGAAAAACAAAGCAACATTTATCCTAAGATTCTTGCAATCATGTTACTGTTCAATAGTTTTGCTTTTAACAGCTGTTCCTTGTTCACTCCCACTGAGGAACATTAATGTATCCTTCTTCCAAAAACCAAGGTGCTTCTCTTGAAACAGTATCTAGAAATTTTTCTACAGTCTCGGCTTTTAGTTTAATCCCTCCTTTTCGTAAAAGCTGCACTAGCACGGCTTTTACTTTCACTTTTGATCCCGCCGATCCCATGTTGTTGTAACTTTCCCTTCGCCACTGCCTGTGGTCCTAACTTCGTCCCCTAAATCTGGGAGCCTTAATAGCGCTATCCCTTCGCCACTTACCTGCGGACCTTACCCTCTATTTTTTTCTGTCGGAAAGATATTCCCCGTACAGGCCACCATTTGCCGCGAACCAAGACTCCGACCAGCAGAGCCGAGGAAAGGACAACACGGACGCCAAGGTGAGGTTCAAGCAATTCTCTCTCTTTTATTCTTCGTCATCCCACAATATATACCCTCATCAGATCCATCCCACAATCAGACCGTCACACGGAGCCAATCAGGACATGAGCACAGGGCTAACATGCAGGCAGAGCAGCAAATCATTGGGCCACGCAATAGAATCATGCTCGGTGACGTATCATGTCAGGCAGGCTGTGTGTGATCAAGCTTACAGCGCTTGTGCGAGTTGGAGCAAACAAGTGAGGGTCACGAGGCTTGACAGCCAGCCAGGGTGCCATCTTGGCCGGCTCAACCGCGCCCGCTTCCCACAGCAGAGGGGCACAGTCCCTTCTTTTCCAGCTGTACTAGCCACCTTACCTCCAATATATGAGGATCCTTCATTACACCCAACACTCCTTCCCCAGAAACCAGCCAAGAATCAAGAACCCCTCTGAGCTTGACTAGGTACAATCTATCAGTCCCCAGTGTGGTGCTCAGGTGTGGAGTCTGTCAGCCCCAGGTTCAAATCTTGACTCCACTGCTTGGTACCTATATCCAACAGGGTGCCTTAATAAGCCACATTTGACTATATGTAAAATGGAGATAATACAGCCTCTCCTGTCAAGGTTGTGAGGAGGACATGGTATTGTATCTGTAGGCCTGTAGATAGGCCCAATTGTCCTGCACATTGATGACCCCCATGAAGCAGTATTAGCATTATAGCTACCTCTTGAACCAATCCCGAGGAATTCTCTGCATGCACTACAACCTGACCTCTCTTCCTCTCCTATTTCCCTTATTCCCCAGCCTCTCTGACTCTGCCAGTGTTTCCCTGAGGCCAGGGTTCCAGGGTTCTTTTCCTTAGGAGTTCTCTAAGAGTAAATCACCAGAGATCCCTTCGTGAATGTCTGTCTGTGGGATTTTATTTATTTTTGGTCTTCTTGGGACAGGATCTCCGGTAACCCTAGCTGGCCTGGGACTATGTATACCAGGCTGCCCTTGACCTTATAGAGATCTGCCTCTGCCTCCCAAGTACTGGTATTAAACATGTGTGCCCCCACGCACAGCTGGATTTTTTGAAAAACATAGGGTCTCATGTAGTCTAGGCTGGTCTCAAACATACTATATAATTGAGGATGATTCTGAACTTCTGATCCTCCCGCCTCCACCTCTTGAGTGCTGGAATTGCAAGAATGTACCACCATGCCCAATACATGTGGTTTATGTTTGCATGTTCTAACGACACATGAGTGAGGTTCTGAGGTGCCAGAGAAAAGGCTCTCTTTCCAGAGAGCCATCAGCAGGCCCTGTTTGTTTTCCTGACCCCTGCTGACCTATGCTACTTTCCTTTGGGGACAGTCCTGTAGATGCTCCTTCCTTTCTTAAACAAATTTCATGGAACACTTTTTCTTTTCCTGTTTTCCTAATAGCTGAAAAGTTCTGGATCTGGAAGTGTTTTGTAGTAAATTCTATGCTTGTTTCAACAGGCCCACACACAAAGTAGGAAGTAATGAGAGCCTTCTAAATCCCCCATCACATCTTGGGAAGGCAAGACAGAGTCAGTTGATGCTATTCGAAGCCCATCTGGGAACTCTAAATGGTACTGGAGATTCCAAGGTCTTTAGATGCTATCAATAAGGCCTAGGCCTGACAGCCAAAGGGTTACCCTCCAATAGCTCAGGCAACAGATTTTTCCCTTCCCAAGGCCCCAGCATCCTAGAGAAGGCAGTAGTGTTCCTTGCCTCAGTTCTCCCTGGATCAGGAAGGGATGAAGACAGGGTTTCTGTAGACCCCTGACATTCCTGCTTGGAGATGGAATCTTCCAGGTGGGATTCACTTTACTCCAAAAGGGATGGAGATTTGAAGTTCAAGAAGAGAACAGGGAAGAGGTTCTTGAGGTCCCTGAGAGGAAACTTTGTAAGGGAGGCCTTGGCACTGGAACACCTACAGCAGCTTGCCTCTGGGCAAAGTCCTCAGGCATCTTTTATTACTCTTGTCATCATTTATTTCTTGTAAGTATCTGAGAACATCTCCAGCAGACTGCAGTGGCTATTTCTCAGCTCTAAAACCCAGGCAGTTTCTTGTTCTGAGCCAAGTCAGGCTAAATTCGTGTCTCCCTCCTATAGATACGTGACTTCATCAGTGCTGGGCCTGTGCCCATCTAGGGCAAGGCCAGAGCCAGGGACAGGAGGTCCCTGCTGGGTTTCTCCGTGACTGTCCTGGGAACCCAGCGGCTGCCAGTGGATGAGGTAAACGCCACCCTCTGGCTTTAGGGCTGGTGGCTCTGTAAGGAGAGTAGCATGGCCCTGGTACAGCTTAGGCCTAAAGTGGACGGCCACCACGATGCAGACAGCTAGTAGGATGAAGGCAACGATGATGACAGTGAGCAGCAGCAGCCCATCACCTCGAGGTGGTTCCCAGGCCTTACCTAGCATCTCTGGGAGCTGCCTTTGAGGCTCCAGTTCCAATGAACCATTCACAGCTGGAGAAGGCCAGAGATAGTGGCCATCCTAGGGGAAGGAAGTATGACAGAGAGAGGTTGACATGCAGTGAACACACAGAAAAAAAGCCAAAGAGAAAGGGGGGAGCACCCAAGGGATTTGAGAGACAGAGAGCCTCAGGGATGGAGAGGGAGAGAATTAACAGTGGTAAACATACTGATAAAAACAAAGAAAATAGCTGGGTGTGGTAGTGCACGTCTTTAATCCCAGCACTCGGGAGGCAGAGGCAGGGGGATCTCTGTGAGTTCAAGGCCAGCCTGGTCTACATAGTGAGTTCCAGGACAGCTGGGGCTACAGGGAGACCCTGTCTCAAAAAGACCAAAAAGGCCAGATGGGGGACCCTGTCTCAAAAAGACAAAAAAAAAAAAAAACCAAACAAAAAACCCCCCAAAAAACAAATGACAAAAACATTGGGGGTACAGACAAGAAAGAAAGAAAAAGAGATAAAGGTGGGCAGAAATGAGGATGGAGACAGTGACAGCAATAAATAAAACAAACAAAAACCAAACACCCAAAAGATAGGGAGTTAGAGTCACGCAGAAAGGGCAGAGAGGGGTTTTATTTTAGTTTGGCATAGTATAGTTTGTCCCCAAAGTCTTGTCTCATTGCCCCCTCTTCCATAAATAGATCCTGTGTTGTATCTGGAATCTGAGCACTCTATGGACTACTGTCCTGCATTCTGGGCAGTGGGAAGGGAGCAGCTGCATTGAGACGTTCTGGAAAAAAGGAGTCATTGTCCAGTCTCCAAGGTTCCCTTAGTCTAAACTCACTAGAAGGCAGAAAAGTAGTACTTGGGACAGGGACTAGAAAGAGGGAACAGGAGCCTCAGAAGCTTGGGGTAAAGTGGTACATGTGCCCGTGCTTCATTCCATAACTACACTACCTTCCTTCTAGGCCTCAGGGTCAAGTTCTAGAGGCCTAGATAGGGGTGGTATCCAGTGTGGAGTCCTAGCTCTGCCCAGGAAGGATTGAGGAGATCCTGTGCCAATCTATCCCTGCCAGGATCCCTGGGTTTTTCAACCAAAACCTGGGGACATAATCCATACCACTAGTACATCTCTACCCTGCTGGATGTTGAGTGGGGGTGAGGGGATCACAGTGAAGGAAGGAAACTTCAAAACTGTAACCCCCAGAGTGAGTGAGGTGGCCTCTCCCTCTGCAGCCACCTTTCTAAAGCAGACAATAGGAGATGGGGCCCCTCCTCTAACCTCAAGCCCTCAGCCCATTCCATCCCATGAAAGGCAGTTGGGATCTAGGAGAGGCTGCTAGGGCAAACCTATTTCCTTTTAGCTCCTCAGTCACACTGTCCTTTCAATTCCATCTCCCAAATGAGTTCTTTTGTTTGCAGGAAGCCCAATGCTGCCACTTCTTGCAATGCTGAACCTCCTGAGCCCAGTCACAGGGCTCCTAGGCAGGGGATGGAGAGCAGCTCCGGATGTGGGGGGGGCGTGGCTTAGGCTAGGAAGGGCATGGGGCCCCTGCAAGGAGTCAGCTAGCCTGGTAGGAAGGGGTGAGCAAAAAGTCTACCTGGTGCATTGTCCAGATCTGGTGCAGGGTTCTCTTGGGACTGGAGGCCAGCTGAGCAAAGAAGGAAAGCTCACTGCCCTAGCTCAGCCCCTACCCGGAGCTGCCACGTCTGTGGGGCTCCTGGGCACACACCCTCTGCACACACCCTCACTGCTCTTTCCTGCGCTTGTACTTCCGGGAACATCTAGTCTACCCTGGGCCAGTCTTCTATTCCAATAGGACCTTGATCTTCCTTCCAGGCACTTCCTTTTGTATCACCTTGCCAGCTTTAGGAGCTCAAGCTGGCCTGTCTACTTTTCTTCCATCAGATTTCAGACATTTGGTCCAGTGCCCACCTCCAACCCCCTGCCCAGGACCAGCCCACTGTCCTGCTCCCATCAACTATCTGAAGCTATCTATGGCCCCTATATCTCAAACACACTGCAGAGAATAGACCATGTAGTCTACTGTCTCTAAATCTCTACAGACCAACTAACAGTTCTGTCCATCTCAGCGATTTGTCACATTTATATTTAAAATATTAAGAAATAAAGTTGTTTTCTATATATATTTTAATTTATTATTATGTTCCAGGGAGTGTGTGGAGGTCAGAGGTCAACTTTGTAGAGTTCTCTCTTTCTACCCTTATGTGGGATCCAGGAATCGAACTCGGGTCACCAGCTTGCATAGCAGGCACCTTTACTTGCTGAGCCATCTTACCTGCCCCCAAATTTTTGTTGTTGTTTGTTTGTTTTGAGACAGGATATCACTATGCAGCCCTGGCTGGCCTAGAATTCACTATGTAGAGTAGGCTGGCCTCTAACTCACAGAGATCCACCTGCCTCTGCTGCTTAGCCCTTATCTTGCCCCTGGATGCACACTCACCTCCCTTTATTCAGATAGAGACCAGGAGACTCTAGGAAGCCCCCCACCCCCTCACCTAGTAACTTGAGGTAAGAAGCTTCCTGGTTTCTTGGTTCTTTGTCAAATTGCCCACACCCTGACATCTCCATTGAGCCCAGAGCTATTGACCTGACTCTCAAATTACCTGGGACTTCTCGCTGGCTAGCCATAAAGCCTCCTATTGATCATTTTCCCATACAACTGAAGACTCTGGTAGTCAGTTTCCTCCTACATTGGTCCTTTTGGATCTAGCCAGAGGGAATTTTGGACTCTGCCCCAAGTCTAGGGCTTGATCTTCTGAGCTTCAGAGAGGAAGAGAGTATGGAATTTATGGGATGGCCCAGGACTTCTTCATCACTTCCCCATGCTTTCTGCTGTCTGAACCTTTTTTTTTTTTTTTTAATGTAGACCAGGTTGGCCTCAAGTTCACAGAGATCTGTCTGCCTCTGCCATGTGCTCGGATTAAAGGCATGTGCTACCATGTCCAACTCTGCTGTTCAAATCTTTTAATAATCTTGTCTCATTTGGTCAGGTGTGTGTGTGTGTGTGTGTGTGTGTGTGTGTGTGTGTGTGTAATTGAACCCAGGGCCTTACCTAATTTAGGCAAGTGCTATATTAAAGTTATATCCCCAACCCTGAGTATACTCAGGGTTGTCAAAAAAGAAAGACAAGGCTGGTGAGATGGTTCAGTGGGTAAAAAGTGCTTGCCAGGCAAGCTTCATGACCCAAGTTATAAGGAGCCACTGTGGAAGGAGAGAACAACTTCCAAAAGTTGTCCTTTGACCTCCACATGTGTGCTGTAGCATGTGCAACCCACACATACACTCTCTCTCCCACACACCATATATACAACACACACACATACTCATTTTAGTTGTCAGCTGGACACACCTGGGAAAAGGAAACCTTAATTTAGGAATTTCTTCTATCAAATGTACTTGTGGGCATGTGTGTGAGGCAAGTACTTTACCAACTGAGCTATTTTCCCAGCCCCCTCTCTTGCTTTTTAATTATGGCTAATGGTAACGGTATTGCTTGTACGGCCTCCCTGAAAGATGCTGGGAGTCCCATCTGAACTGGGAGCCTGGAGGAGGGAGAGGAATGTAGAGAATTCAGAGTCTATGGAGTATGGGTGGCTAGTGGGCTGAGCTAAGGGCTCAGTCCTTGTTCTTAGAAAAGAACCTGGACTAAAACAGTAGACTTCACCTCCAGGTGCTGCATGGAGGGACCTGAGGGATCCCTCAGAGAGGAAGGCGGAGATGGGGGCAGGCTGCCACCATTGGTCATTGTGCTCAGGACCCAGAGGAGAGCAGGGTGGCCCTGGCCAGTCCTCACAGTCTCGGTTGCTCAGCCTCACATCCTAATGTGTGCTGAGAGGGGGCCCTGGAGCCAGTCCCAATCTGTTTCCTTCTATTCTTTGACAGGAAGCTCCAGGAGAGCCAGTCCCCGCCCCTCATCCCGCCCCAGCACTCCCTCTCTCTTCTCCACTATGGACAGAGGATCCCCTGAGAATCCTGCTGGCCACATACCCAGCTGACATGGGGTCCATCAGAGCCATGCTGCTATGCTCAGCTATCCTGGGTTTACTTCTGCTCCAAGGTAAGAGGCACTTGCCACTTTTCTATAGCAATCTCCACCTCTCCCTCCTCCTGAACATACATGTTTCCCATCTAGAGCTCTGCCTGAGGAAGGGAGATTCCAGAGCTTTTCCATTGAGGGGGGTCTGCTTGCACTGGCCGGGAGGATGGGCATTAGCAGACGAATAAAACCAATACTGTTAGATTCATTTATAGGATGTTTTCTGGGGTTAACTGGGTTCCCTCATAAAGTATGGCCCCTTGAAGGGTAGGAAGTGACTGACTGGATGCAATACAGAGCCTCGAAAGTTCCTGCACACAGGCAGTAGAAGCCTGTGCCCGCCCCATCCATCTTCTCATCTAGTCTGGGCACCATGCTCATTCTATGGACTGTTCCAGCACAGAATTGCACCTTGGCCTTCACAGGTGATCTTTTTTCTTTCCTATGAAGAATTAAAATTTGTGAGTTTCAAATGCTGCCTTTAAGCTCAAATCATAGCAAGAGGGCTTCAGGTTAGACACAAAGAACAATTACCAAGGAGGATGTACAGAGCCCAGGGGCTTAGTGAGATGGCCTTGGAAGAGGTAGCTAGAAGCAACCCCTCTCAGATGGCTCAGGCAGCACATCAGGTTCCTCTAATTAGGGAACAGTTGCTGGGAACCATGAGAAGTCCAGGACACTCTGACTCACACCCACAGGGCAGCAACTTCCCTTCGTCACAGAAACCCCCACTCCCTGACCCTAGTCCTCTGTGAAAGATTTATGAAACTGTGCTCTGAACAGCAGAAAGACTGGGCCAGGGTGCTTAGGGGAGAGGATCAGAGTTCCAGAAAACTGTCTCCCACCAAAGTGAGACATTTCTTTGGAAGCCCATAGGTTGGAGTCAAATGACACCCCTTCCTGCCCCCCTCAACTCTCACAGGATAGAGTAAGAAATTGGTCTGGGTTGGGAAGTTACAGTGGTGGAATTTGTAGAGGGACTTAAACGGGGATTCATAGGCCTTCCAAATACCAGCCTATGCTTTACAACTGTCACCCTAACTTCCCCAGCCTCTACTCCTAAGAGCTCATAGGGCTTACTGTCTGTCTCACTTTGGTGGGCTGAGGAATTGTCTGGAGCACATTCATGCCAACAAAGAGATTCAACTAAGGAGACAGCCAGTCTTCTGACTTGGAGGACTGGAGAAAATGGGGCAAATTTTTAGAGGCCAGCCCTGACTACAAATGGGCTGTTAGGAGCTTTGCGTTTTGTATGTTATCCTCTCTTCCCTTCAACAATTTATGAGGTACTAATTAATCCTCTCCCTCTGTCTATGACTGTCTTTCTCTGTCTCTGCTCTGTCTCTGTGTGGTGCTGGGAATCCAGCCTAGGGCTTACCACAGAACTATACCTCTAGCCCCTCACATTTTAAAGAGGAACACTCAGATCCAAGTCAATGAATGACTGAGCCAGAATTTCAACCCAAGCCTGTTAGACTCTAATTTTTTTTTTTTTTCTTGTGGTGCTGGGGATTGAACCCAGGGTCTCACACAGGCTAGGTAAGCCCTCTACCCTGAGCTACATCCCCAGTCCTGTAAATCCATGATTTAAACTACTAAGCTATGCTGTTATGAAAAACAGGGAGGGACATGGGTGGGGATTAGTCTGGAAGGAAATGAAGCAGGTAGGAATTAGGAAGCAAGGAGATCAGGAAAATCAGAAATTCCTGCAGCTAGAATTCTTTAGATGTCTGCATGCCCAGTGGTCAGAGGCACTGGGCCTACAGAAACACATGTTCCCCGGAAGTCCCTTTACTACTCAGAGAACAATCTTTACAGGTAAGAAGTGGGGAGAGGGAGGGGGCAAGAGGCAAGGAGAGGACACTGAGGCTTGATGTTTATGACTTGGGAACTCCTCAAAAACTTCTAGATCATCTTCTAGATAAATGCAGGATGGCAGATATTCTGTGACCCACTCCTCACAAAACTTAGATGATATGTAAGGTATGCATGAACAGAAACCCGTCATGTTCAGAGGGCAAGCATGAAAAGGGTTCGCCCATGTTCATCCCTTGTTAGGAAGGATTCTCTCTAGCTTGAGGAGTTCCTGTGAGTTTTTACTCCCCTATAGAACCTCCACTCACAAAATAGGGAAAAATAAGACCCAGAGTTTGGGCAAGCTTGGACTTGCAAACAATTCTATATATCAAATGATAGCCCCATGGGGGAAGACAGTGGCTTCAGGAAAATAAACAGACCAGCAAGCTGCCACAGGCAGGGATGGGCCCCTGGCATTCAGTAGCCGCAGTCTATCTGGGGCCTGGGCTTGATGCTTCCCTGACAGTGAGAAGCCTTGAGAACAGTAGAGCCAGGTCGGTGACTACAGCCCCAGCTTGAGTGGAGGGACGGGAACTCAGATGGGCGGCTCCACTTCCCTATGTTGTTTTCCTTTCACATTGTTCACAGGTTTTAAGAATGATTTCATTGTGGAAAATGCGCAAACACAACCTGACTGACCACCTACTTCTCCCCCTCACCTCATCTACACAGAGGCCTACAGACATATATATGTACATATAGAACAGCTAATGAAGGCTCTGATTAGCGCCTCCTGGTAACCAACTCCTCCCTGGGTTTGACCCAGAACAACCATTTCTCAAGTTGCCTCTGCCTGTGAGAGTAAACCAGTCACTCCTTTCAGAGCTTCCTTTCCTCCTGTACATACTTCAGAGCTTGTTTCCTGTGCAGGCCTCTACTTCTGGTGGGGGAGGGAAGAGAGACAGAGCCCTGATACAAGCCCATAAACCCTAACCACATTTCATTCACCTTCCCATCTGCTCCCCTTGGAACAGAACCAAGATGACAGTCTTCATAGGGGAAAAAATGGCCCAAGGGTACTATGGGCTGAACATTAGCCTAGAGACCTGGAGTTCTAGGTATCTGTCCCAATATGTCATTAGTCCCCTAGCCTTGTGTCAGGTTGGTGGGATACCCATAGAGGATTGAAGAGACAGGAAAGGACTCTAGGACTCTGAACCAAGAGGTGATGGTGATGATGCAACTGAGCCAAAGTCCCAGAGGAAGCCAGCACTGGGAGCTAGAGCCCTCGTCCTTTAGACCTCTGCCAAGTGTGCCTGCCTTCCAGCATGGGGAGTTTGGACAGCTAAAAAGCCTGGTTCCCCTATGGGCTCTGCTAGGCAGGCTTACCAAACTAGCCTGTGTGTTTTGCTTTCTCTTGCAGGCTACAACTTCCAGCCCACAACAATACGGACCTCTCAGGGTAAGGCTCACGGGGCCTACTCTAGCATTTACTTAGGAGCTTAGGAACAGCTTAAAAGGAGGGAGATGTGGGCCTGTTTGCACTGAATGTAGGTGACTGATGCTGAGGCCAAAGCTTTCAGAGGCTCATTCAGCAGGGTCCAGTCTAACATGCCCCGAAGAACATAAAGATGAATGGTTGGAGGTAGAGGAGGGGAGGGGAAAAGATAAAAGTACTAGAAGGTTGAGGCCCTGAGCAGGTCATATGTATTTCCCAATCCATAGAAGTTCCACAGAAGGTCTCACAGGGCTCTGTGGTATCCAGTAAGCCTGTAATGCCAAGGTCAAGCACTGTGGATGACCGTTCTCCATCCTTACTGGGCCTGATGTCACCCCAGCCGCAAAAGCTCACATCAGGACTTGGTGAGTACCTACGGCAGGTGGGGCAAGGAGTAACAGACCCTGGAGAGATCTGTATGGGTTCCTTCTTCCTTTTGTCAGGAGCCCAAGTTCTGGAGTGGGAGGTGGTAGTCTAAGGCCAAAAGCTGTATCAGTAGTACCCTGGTTTTGGAAATAAAAAGAAAGTACTGATGGGGGTAGGGGGTTAAAGATAGGGAAGGTAAAACAATCTTGAACTTGGGACTGAGAGGGGAATGGATAAAGAGAAGGGGAAGGAAACTCCCAAATGAAGGGTTGGGAAAGGGTTCGATCCTTCTCAGGGCATGCTGGGAGGAATGGGGGCCCTCCATTTTGCTATTTGCTTCTGGTGTAGGTACAAGGGCCCCAGATGGTGGTAGCAGCAGCAGCAGCAGCAGCAGCAGCACAAGGGGAGGTATGTCCTGTGTGTGCTCCTGGCAGAGAAGGGCAGTAAGATATGTCTGTGACCCTTTCTATCAAGCCATCTTCTGGACCTTGGATATTTTCTACTCCCAGACTTATATGGGAGATGGGAGGTGAGGAGAGAGAAGGAAATTGAGCAAAAGAATAGATCTAAAGTACAGTGAGTTGAGAGTGGGAAGAGAATGGGGACTTATGGGTGACTTACATGGGTCCCAGGGATCATATTCAGGCCTTCAGGCTTAGAGGCAAGCATCTTTATCTGCTGAGCCATCTTGTTGGCCCAATATCACTGTTTTTGTTTTTGGGGTTTTTTTTTTTTTTTTTTTTTTTTGTCTTTTTGAGATAGGGTCTCCCTGTAGCCCCAGCTGGCCTGGAACTATTTAGACCAGGCTGGCCTTGAACTCACAGAGATCCACCTGCCTCTGCCTCCCGAGTGCTGGGATTAAAGGCATATGCCACCACACCCAGCCCCAACATTACTTTTTAAGTGGGCCAGAAATCTATCCCCTTTACCTGGCAGCCTGGCTCTTTGGGTCAATGCCTTCTTTCCTCCTATCTCAACCCTTGGTAGAACATAGATGGCTCTACCTTGTCTCATATGGTCCCCTGTCCCTGCAGTATAAATCCTTTCTTCTGGGTGCCAAGGGATGGTGAGGAACATCTTGAACCTTCTGGAGTCCTCTGCGAACAACCAGCAGTGCTATTCACATGACCCCACATCACTACAGTTCCAACCTCTGTCTTCATGGGATCTAGTCAGTGGTAGGGAGGAAGTCTTCTATTTTTAGCTTTCTGCAGTCTCTTACCTGAAGGATCAAGAGGGAAGGCTAGCTCTCTCTGCCGGTCCTTGTTAGTCCCCTTTGCTGATGCACCAAACCCCACTCTATTTCAGAAGCACCTCTGAACGCTACACCCAGTTCAGTCACCACAAGCCCAAGGACAAGGGAAGATGTGACCATCCTGCCCGGTCCCACATCAACTCTGACTCCAGTGATCACTGTGGCTGCCTTTGGTGAGAGATGGGGGGAAGGGTGGACCATGGAAGGGGATCCCCACCTCTGGGATTGACTTGGACTCCGGAATTGGGAACACAGGTTCAAATCTCATCCATTCATTCTAGGAGGGATTGGCTGAGGGGCAAGTTCTGATGAAGGAAGGCTCCACCTGCCCTCTGGTCAGCTCTTCTTGGCTCTCTTGGGCTCCATGTTCTTATGGGAGGATAGTGCTAGGCTACGGAATTCCCCATGGATAGGGGTGCCAGACTGACAGACAGCTTTCTGTTCCCAGAGAAGCAGAATTCACTTTACTCCCAAAGCCTGTCCATATTGAATTTTCTGGGGAAGGAAATTCAGGACCCTTACCCCTGTTGCCCCTCCTCTCTTTCCCCTGTCCCTTCTCTGTCAGGTGTTATCAGCTTCATTGTCATCCTGGTGGTTGTGGTGCTCATTCTAGCTGCTGTGGTCAGTGTAAGGTTTAAGTGCCAGAAGAATAAGGAGTCAGAAGGTACGTGTCTTAACCTGCTGGGCCCTCCCCCACCCCCGCCTGGCCCCCGATGCTCAGAGCTCAATCGAAGGGCCAAGGCTAACACAGACCTGGACTGAGAGAAGAAATGGCACAGAAGCACCATTTGATGAGTTGGGAGGGTCATCTTGGGTAGGCTTTGAGGGGGTGGCTGGGCTCCTGAGTTATAGCATAAGACCCCAGTCTGTGTCCTTGGGCTTTTACAGATCCACAGAAGCCAGGGAATTCAGGACTATCTGAAAGGTAAGAATGTTTTTTGAGACAGGGTCACCCTGTAGCCCCAGCTGTCCTAGAGCTCACTATGTAAACCAGGCTGGCCTTGAACTCACAGAGATCTGCCTGCCTCTGCCTCCTGAGTTCTGGGATTAAAGGCATGTGCCACCACGCCTAGCTCAAGGAATCTTCTTTTAAAAAATATTTTATTTATTTAATTTATGTGTATGAGTGTATTGCCTGCATGTGTGTAAGTGCACCCATGTCGTGCAGTACCCACAGAAGTCAGAAGAGGGTGTCAGATCCCCTGGAACTGGAGTTACAGATGGATGTTAGCTACCACATGTGCTGGGAATCAAACCTGGGCCCTCTGCAAGAGCAAACAGTCCTCTTATCTGTTGAGCCATCTCTCTAGCCTTCCTAAAGGAGGAATCTTCTACCTGACCCCCGCTCCAAGAGGGAAACAAGACTCCATACTTTCCTCACATGTAACACACACACACACACCACCATACATCATACATCATACCTATCACATCATATACACATCACATATCACACACACCCCACACACTGCACCCACCATATCAAACACATATACACACCTTATCTATCACACTCACCCTATCATACAGGCCACACACCCACACCACACTCACCAAATCACACACATGCCACACATCACACCCACATCATATCCCCATATCACACACACACACCCCCCACATGCACCATATATCACACATATCATACAAACCACACATTATACATACCCATACCACACCCATCATATCATACACATACATAACACACTATATCACACACATACATATACACACATGCACCATACAAATCACATACCACACATCACATACACACCACATATTACATACACACATACCACACCCACTTACACTATACAAACCACACTACATATCACACATTACAAACACCACATATTATACACAACACACAGAGAGACACACACACCATTCCCCCACTGCACACATTACGCACATACCACATATTACATACACTGTGCATCACACACACCACATATCATATACATACCACTCCCCCACCACACACACTTTTTTTTTTTTTTTGAGCTAGGGTCTCCCTGTAGCCCCAGCTGTCCTGGAAGTCACTAGGTAGAACAGGTTGGCCTCAAACTCACAGAGATCCACCTGTCTCTGCCTCCCAAGTGCTGGGATCAAAGGGATGTGCCACCACACCTGGCACACACTCACATTTTATAAGCCATACACACTGCACATACTGCATATCATGCACACCACATACAGGCATACACCCCACAATCCTATAGTCTCTGCTGTAGCTGGACCAGGTGGCAGGCTCAGGTAGGTAGAGGTGGACTAAGCTCTTGAGCCCCAGGGCTTGACTTCTGTTGCCCCCCTGTAAAAAGTATAGGAATGTTGGTTCTAATATAAGATACATCTTCTAAGATGAGGAAATTCTTGTTGAATACCATACTCTGTGCCACAAACACTGACATATAATTTATAATATTGTCTCAAATCCTTACAGCAATTCTTCAAGGAAGAATTCGTTTTATAAATTAAAAAAAAATTGGGGCTCAGTTGGTGGAGTGCTTGTCTAGCATATATGAGGCTCTGAGTTCTCAAGTAACCCAGGCTGGCTTTGAACTCACCATATGTAGCCAAAGATGAAATTGAACTCCTGATCCTCCTATCTCTGCCTACAAAGTGCTGAGATTATAGTTTTATATCACCAAACCTAACATTAAAAAAAAAAAAAAAAGGTTTGGACAAGGTGTGTGGTGGTGGTGCACATCCTTAATCCCAGCATTTGGGAAGCAGAGTCAGGCCAGCTTGGTCTATATACTGAGAGCCTGTGTTTTAGTTTGTTCTTCATTGCTGTGACAAAATACTCTGATCAATACCAACTTGGGAAGGAAAGGGTTTATTCAGCTTACATCTCCCAGGTCGCAGTTCATCAGGGAGCCCAATGTAGGAACTCAGTGCAGGAACCTGGAAGCAGGAGCTGGAGCACAGGCCATGGAGGAACGCTGCTTACTGGCTTGCTCCCCTGGCCCCTGCTCAGCCTGCTTTCTTATGCAACATAGGCCCACCTGCCCAGGGGTGGCACCACACACAGTGGGCTGGGCCCTCCCACATCACTCATCAA